GGCCGTGACAAGGATTCGAACCTGCGTCCGAGAGCATCCCAGACGCTTCCTCCTGGGCACTATCCCACCGCGAGGTGTTTTTTGTATAAGCCTGCCTTCTGTGGACCATCACTCCTAGACTCCCATAAATCTTCAATGAAAAATCACATAGTTACACATTCAGTTACCAAAACACAGGAGCCAGGTACATCTGGGTATCTCTCTCAAAAGTCAGAGTGCTTGTCAACAATACTGTAAATCTTGTATTTCTGTGCGTCCAAGTGAGTGCGAGAGAGGACGGAGGTTTCGTGAACATTACCAGCATCTTGTTCGCCTTATCTTGAGGTTATCTCGAGATGATTTCGGGGCTTAGCGTCCCCGCGGCCCGGTCCTTGACCAGGCCTTTTTTGTTACACACTCTCAGGAAGCAGCCCTTAGCAGCTGTAACTCCCAGGTACCTATTTACTACTAGGTGAACAGGGACATCAGGGTGAAAACTCTGCCCATTTGTTTCCGCCTCCACCGGGGATCGAACCCGGAACCACAGGACTATGAATCCGAAGCGCTGTCCACTCAGCTGTCAGGCCCCTTCTCAAATATTTCGAGCAACATCTTACATAGATGCTCAACATATAAACCTGCACGCCTTCCGCCGTTGATAAATATTTACAAAAATTATGGAAAGTTCTCTTCTCCGCATAATTTGTTTTCATTGCCTGTAAAGAAAACTCGCACACGTTTTTCCTACACGAAAGTGATATTGACGTAACTTCTGGATGCTGTCCGGCTTTCTCCTCTGTGGAGAACTACGGCTTTCATTTTGGAAACATTAACGCAAATGGACGGGGCCATAAAATGATAATATACTAGTCAACATTTATGGATAACATAATACAAGAGGGAACACGACATAACAGTAACTTAACGAAGACCATTCTCCTCTGGTCTCCTACACTAAGACGCCATATTCAGAATAACGCGAACATCTCACCTTGGCTTATGGTCCGTACCCACGTCTTAGGGGAGATGTATGTGTTATTTTGTCGCCTTCAGTGTGCTATTCTCCACCACTACCCTCCCTCTCTTTCACACCTTACCCCCTCTCTTCTCCCACACCTTCCCCACCGCCACTACTACATACCCGAATCGTTCCTTTCATAGCCTTGTAGAGTGTGGTTATACACACACACTGTGCGATGAGTCACAATAACGTGGCTAAAGTATGTTGACCAGACCACACACTAGAAGGCGAAGGGACGACGACGTTTCGGTCCGTCCTGGACCATTCTCAAGTCGAAGGGACGAAACGTCGTCGTCCCTTCACCTTCTAGTGTGTGGTCTGGTCCACACACACTGTTGTTGTTGTTTATATTCAGCTATTCTGAACAAAATTTCCATGTAGCACGGGGTGTAGTGAGGCCGCAAATACACACACACTGGATAATGCTACAATTTAGTACTACATAATACACGGTATTATGTAGTACTAGGAGGAGGTTACCCGACGAAGCTCGGGTGACGGACGCCACATCACTGCTTTCTTTGAACAAATTTAACTTTGTACAAATTGCACACAAACCTCACAGAAACACCGAATATCTTCTCATTCCCTTACTTAACGTTCCTCTCACTTTTCTTACAAACTTTCCCCCAATTCTAACTTTTTTATCTCGTTTCTACGTTCGCTTGGAAAATTATGACAACAAACAAGGTCAACGTAAAGTCGGGGAAGTTGCAATTGATGCGAAACCACACGAGTTGAGGTGAGGCTGAGGCGAGGCTGAGGCGAGGCTAGGCCTGTATCAGTGATAAAACACCAGGCTGCGGCATGGGGGTGGAGAGGCCGGAGGCCCACCACAGCATGCACAAGGACCAGCTTCCTATATACACTAACCAATGTAAGATCAATGATTAATAACATTTGACGCAGTATAAACGCAAGCATTAAGGTTTCCTTTGGTTAAATTATACAAACACGGCTCAACTCCACTAATAGTAGTAGTCAAACCCAATAGAAAAAAAGCCTATTCCTAGATGAACACTTAGTCTATCTCCTATCTTTCGGTAAGCAGAGGCACTTGTATTTAAAGTTGACCCATAATGCTAGGCCCTAATGTTCGAGCAGGAGCCGGACTACCAGGCTCAAGACTGGCTCTGCCACATCACAGGGAAGCACTACCATCACTGCCAAACCGCCTATACATAATTGAAATGAAGCTGATGTTTAACGCAAACAGTAACCTGCCAACCCGCTGCCACTAACCCAACTTCCAGCGAAAAATGACCACCATTACACACAAGTTTCCAAGGTTCAATTTTTGTTTTAATGAAATCTCATATATAATGTACTTCCTCCTTCCCTTCTCTCCCTCACCGTGCACCGTCCCCTCCTCTCCCTCACCGTGCACCGTCCCCCTCCTCTCCTTCACCGTGCACCGTCCCGCTCCTCTCCCTCACCGTGCACCGTCCCCCTCCTCTCCCTCACCGTGCACCGTCCCCCTCCTCTCCCTCACCGTGCACCGTCCCCTCCTCTCCCTCACCGTGCATCGTCCCCTCCTCTCCTTCACCGTGCACCGTCCCCTCCTCTCCTTCACCGTGCACCGTCCCCTCCTCTCCTTCACCGTGCATCGTCCCCTCCTCTCCTTCACCGTGCACCGTCCCCTCCTCTCCCTCACCGTGCACCGCCCCCTCCTCTCCTTCACCGTGCACTGTCCCCTCCTCTCCCTCACCGTGCATCGTCCCCTCCTCTCCTTCACCGTGCACCGTCCCCTCCTCTCCCTCACCGTGCACCGCCCCCTCCTCTCCTTCACCGTGCACCGTCCCCTCCTCTCCCTCACCGTGCATCGTCCCCTCCTCTCCTTCACCGTGCACCGTCCCCTCTCCCTCACCGTGCACCGCCCCTCCTCTCCTTCACCGTGCACCGTCCCCTCCTCTCCTTCACCGTGCATCGTCCCCTCCACCAATTACAGGCTCGACTACTACTAGCCAACTAGCCGATAGTAACGTCATTGGCGCCCCAGCTCGTTAAAGCCAAACTGCACACCACCATTTAAAAACAAAACTCCGTTATTTACGATGCGTCCGCTCTCTAAATTTCAATGTTGTTAAAAAAATCGAGGATTTGTGCGGTGACCGCGTGCTGCCAATTTCCACTCGCCCGTGTCACTTTTGGCTCATCCGTTGACAAAATAATTGTCAGTGAGCACAAGTAGACTAGTTTGGGATTCGTCAGAGCGTTCACTGATCTAAAGTACTGTTAGACTAACCAAATGAGAGGCCAAACTCTCAAGTTCGTAAACTTTATATGATTAATAATCACAGCCTAGGTGATCAGGTATTCTTTGGAGGTGTTTATCAAGTTCATTTGAACACCGTGAGATGTCGGCCAGTTATGCCCCTTATATGGCTACCTTGAGGCTACCTTGAGGTGCTTCCGGGGCTTAGTGTCCCCGCGGCCCGGTCGTCGACCAGGCCTCCTGGTTGCTGGACTGATCAACCAGGCTGTTAGACGCGGCTGCTCGCAGCCTGACGTATGAGTCACAGCCTGGTTGATCAGGTATCCTTTGGAGGTGCTTATCCAGTTCTCTCTTGAACACTGTGAGGGGTTTGCCAGTTATGCCCCTTATGTGTAGTGGAAGCGTGTTGAACAGTCTCGGGCCTCTGATGTTGATAGAGTTCTCTCTCAGAGTACCTGTTGCACCTCTGCTTTTCAACGGGGGTATTCTGCACATCCTGCCATGTCTTCTGGTCTCATGTGGTGTTATTTCTGTGTGCAGGTTTGGGACCAGCCCCTCAATTATTTTCCACGTGTAAATTATTATGTATCTCTCCCGCCTGCGCTCAAGGGAGTACAGATTTAGGCTCTTTAGTCGGTCCCAGTAATTTAGATGTTTTACTGAGTGGATTCTAGCAGTAAAGGATCTCTGCACGCTCTCTAGGTCAGCAATTTCTCCAGCTTTGAAAGGGGCTGTCATTGTGCAGCAGTACTCCACTCTAGATAGCACAAGCGTTTTGAAAAGTATCATCATCGGTATAGCATCTCTAGTGTGAAAAGTTCTTGTTATCCAACCTGTCATTTTTCTTGCAGTTGTGACGGCTACTTTATTGTGTTCTTTAAAGGTAAGGTCTTCCGACATGAGTACACCCAGGTCCTTTACATTGCCTTTTCGTTCTATGTTATGATTTGCCTGCGTTTTGTACGTGGTTCCTGTTTTATGTTTTCAATTTTTCCGTAGCGCATGAGCTGAAACTTATCCTCGTTGAATACCATATTATTTTCTGTAGCCCATAGAAAGACCTGATCTACATCTGATTGGAGGTTTGCCGTGTCCTCTATGTTGCCAACTCTCATGAAAATCCTAGTGTCATCTGCAAAGGATGATACAGTGCTATAGGTTGTGTTCTGGTCTATGTCCGATATGAGGATGAGAAAAAGTACTGGAGCAAGCACAGTACCCTGGGGAACTGAGCTCTTCACGGTTGATGGGCTGGATTTTATTTTGTTGACTATTACACATTGGGTTCTGTCAGTCAGGAAATTGTAGATCCATCTGCCTATTTTCCCGGTAATTCCTTTTGAACGCATTTTATGTGCAATAACACCATGGTCACATTTATCAAAAGCTTTTGCGAAATCTGTGTAAATTACATCAGCATTTTGTTTGTCTTCCATAGCATCTAATGCCATATCATAGTGGTCCAGCAACTGCGACAGGCAAGAGCGCCCTGTTCTGAAACCATGTTGTCCGGGGTTATGGAGATGCTGTGATTCCATGTATTTTGTGATCTTACTTCTTAGCACTCTCTCAAAAATTTTTATGATGTGCGATGTTAGTGCTATCGGTCTGTAATTTTTTGCCTCTGCCTTATTTCCTCCTTTATGGAGTGGTGCTATCTCTGCTGTTTTTAGTATGTCAGGGATAACGCCAGTATCTAGGCTTTGTCTCCACAGAATGTGAAGGGCCTGCGATAGTGGTTTTTTACAGTTCTTGATGAATATGGAGTTCCAAGAATTAAATGGCAAATTAAATTTCATCTTGCAATCTCTCACGATCGCACTTGAGTTCAGAAATGATCACTATCTGAGCCACTAAACAATGGCATTTGAAAACGCCTGTTCTACATAACACAAACCTTAACACACTCACACGAATTGTTCTCGTAATTCAGTTTCACATTTGTTGTAGCCTATACATACATTCAAGCCTAAATAGTGAAAGTTTTCATTTACTAATCTGAAATACAACAATAAGAACACTCATTATCTTATCCCATAATCCAATTGTAGAGTTGATAAGTCTGCACCATATTAACAAAAATTAAATTGCATTATCTGATCCAACAGACCGCATGAAGCACTGGGCATTGCCTGCGCCACACCCAACTGGCAAATAATTAAAAATCAATCAAGTGGGTGACGTAAGCTGCTGCAGTGGAGGTCTTCCGTTCAGCGTGTCAGTTCAACGCCTGTCAATCACACTGTCAACCAAGCGTGGTTCAAGAGCCTGTCACTGTCAGCTCAACTTTGATGCAGATGAGCCTCTTCACAAGAGGCCGCCACACGACTCTTGGGCGAGATACACGTCTTATCAACACACGCCACACAACTATCACACCCAAGATTGTTTACGTTTTTTCTTCCTGGTCTCTAGTACCCACTCAGATGTTTAAGTAGGCTGCTTTACCGAGGATATATCACAATAACATGGGGGTCAAAACTCCACACATGTGAAGCAAAGTCATATTTTCTTCCCCTTCTTTCCTTCGACTCCTGGTGCTCGCAAAATTAACTCGCCGATACTAATCCCTCTCAGCGCAAGACGCTGCACAGCATATCTTCCAAAACCAGAAAAAGGCGAAAATACAGCGACCTCCGCCAATAAATCAGTTATAAACACACAAGATCAGGAGCCTGCAGGGGAAGACGTGAGAGGCTACAGCAGCCTCTATCTGATACAGTGCAACACCGCTCCCAATAACACTCATTACCTATCAACTTGTGTGGCAACTCTGTATCAACACTTGATAAGCTCCACAACCACATGGGCTGAACGGTAGATCGACTGTCTCGCTTCATGCAGGTCGGCGTTCAATCCCCGACCGTCCAAGTGGTTGGGCACCATTCCTTCCCCCCGTCCCATCTAAAATCTTTAATCTGATCCCTTCCAAGTGCTATATAGTCGTAATGACTTGGCGATTTCTCCGGATAATTCCCTTCCCATTTCCTCGCATCTCTAGCATGAACACTTGATAAGCTCTTCGCATCTGCAGCATCCGTACTGTCACCATACAGTGGGTACTTCCTACTAGTGTGCCCTGTGTCTCCTATCAACCCATCCTCTCAAATAATACATCACATATTGACGTCAAAACTCCCAACGGAAAAATAACATGGTACTATAAATCATAGCAGCTCAGGCAGTGTGTCCACTCGAGTTGCCACAACGGACAAGTACTAATTACCAAAAGGCATCAGCGAGCCGGGTAGACTGTAGCGACGAACAGAACAAACAGTACATGGGACACAAGCACCCGAGCCTAGCCTAACTCACCCACCCACTCATAGAAAACGTGAATGTTTGCCAGCCGCTCTTATCTTTAGCATATCATATTTTGTCCGCTGGGGATTTTGACGTCAAAATGCCATGTAATATTCGAGAGGATAGGTTGGCTCAGGAATAACCACGCTGTCTACAGCCCAGCCTCCTAAAACGAAAGCACATAAAGTATGTAGTGATGGAGCACCAGAATGGTCACTTGAGGACCTCTCCTAGCATTCCTAGGCCTAATATGTAGTGCACACAGGTGGTATACTAAGCATATTTAAGTTTGGTTTTTAGCTTTATTTTTGTCAGGACTGTAACATTAACAGTACAACGGTGTTTACTGATGGTTCATTATTGCACGTTGGAATTTTCCCCCAAATAATTACAAGTAGTGTCACTTCGGGTGAATGGGTTAATTTTACACGTGTGGGTCGATAGGGGGAGAGGGGGCGGTTAAGTTAGGTCTGCGCATTTTAGTACCTTATTTAAAGTCCGTTGTGGCAACGCGAAAGGACGGGTGCACCTGTAGTACGACTGTGATATATACTTACGGTCAACTAGTTAAGTGACGCTATTAGCAGTCAAGGACGCTCGCTGACTTAGTGCTGATTTCTTTTTCCAGGGCCGACTCAC